TTTCGATATCTCAGCTCTGGAAGGGTCTAGAGCCTCCATTTTTGCACTCAGGTTTAAGTCTCATGGCCCTCTATCAGAATCCAGAGTTTTGAGAAGATTGGAGAAACTTAATTTTTTGCCCGAATAAAAAAAAAACGAAAGGGGTACCACTTTCGTTTTTTTTTTTCCGGGTGGAATTTTTGAGTTTCCATATCTCAGCTCTGGAAGGGTCTAGAGCAGGGGTCACCAAACTTTTTTCTCTGGGGGCCACATTATCGTTCCTGACTGTGATGGGGGGCCGGGGCTATATAAAATAGAATTGTGTGACCAAGACCAAACTGACCACCAGCGGGCCTCATAGTAGAGATTACTAGCCTGGCACAGCCATATTTGTTTATCATTAATAGTTGTTTGCAAAAGTAGTAATCGAGTCTTCACACTTTGTTTTAATTTGAAATACCACAGATTTTCCATTTATTTATTTTCGAATACAAATAACATCAAACCTGTCAAGGTAAGAAACATCTGCCTAGTTGAGGTGAGTGGCACTGGTAAGGATGAATGAAAAATTATAAATTATAGGTAGGCCTGTTACTATTTATAATAATTGTGTACAGCACTTAATAAAGGTCAAATAAATAGGCCTATAAAATAAATAAATAAACATTGAAATTATAACAACAACATGAGTAATAGAACTAGTCAGCTCTTATGCCTATCCAGGTGAGCATGCTCAGTAAACAACAAAATACCAAATGCAGACATGTTATTATTTTCCAAAAAGCAATTTAAAAAAATAGGCCATGACGACTTTTGGGGATTGCCGGTTCAAGTAGTGGGGGGCAGAGGGGTTGGGGGGCCAGTCAAAGGGGTGTGGCGGGCCTGATTCGGCCCGCGGGCCTTAGTTTGGTGACCCATGGTCTAGAGCCTCCATTTTTGCACTCAGGTTTAAGTCTCATGTCCCTCTATCAGAATCCAGAGTTTCAAGAAGATCAGAGAAACTCAAAATTTCACCCCCCCAAAAAAACGACAGTGGTACCCCTTTCGTTTTTTTTTCGGGTCGAATTTTTGAGTTTCCATATCTCAGCTCTGGAAGGGTCTAGAGCCTCCATTTTTGCACTCAGGTTTAAGTCTCATGGCCCTCTATCAGAATCCAGAGTTTTGAGAAGATTGGAGAAACTTAAATTTTCGCCCGAATAAAAAAAAAAACCAAAGGGGTACCACTGTCGTTTTTTTTTTCCGGGTGGAATTTTTGAGTTTCCATATCTCAGCTCTGGAAGGGTCTAGAGCCTCCATTTTTGCACTCAGGTTTAAGTCTCATGGCCCTCTATCAGAATCCAGAGTTTTGAGAAGATTGGAGAAACTTAATTTTTCGCCCGAATAAAAAAAAACGAAAGGGGTACCACTTTCGTTTTTTTTTTTCCGGGTGGAATTTTTGAGTTTCCATATCTCAGCTCTGGAAGGGTCTAGAGCCTCCATTTTTGCACTCAGGTTTAAGTCTCATGTCCCTCTATCAGAATCCAGAGTTTCAAGAAGATCAGAGAAACTCAAAATTTCACCCCCCCAAAAAAACGACAGTGGTACCCCTTTCGTTTTTTTTTTCGGGTCGAATTTTTGAGTTTCCATATCTCAGCTCTGGAAGGGTCTAGAGCCTCCATTTTTGCACTCAGGTTTAAGTCTCACGGCCCTCTATCAGAATCCAGAGTTTTGAGAAGATTGGAGAAACTTAATTAAGTCTCAGGTTTAAGTCTTTTTTTCGCCGGAAAAAAAAACGAAAGGGGTACCACTGTCGTTTTTTTTTCCGGGTGGAATTTTTGAGTTTCCATATCTCAGCTCTGGAAGGGTCTAGAGCCTCCATTTTTGCACTCAGGTTTAAGTCTCATGGCCCTCTATCAGAATCCAGAGTTTTGACAAGATTGAAGAAACTTAATTTTTCGCCCGAAAAAAAAAAAACGAAAGGGGTACCACTGTCGTGTTTTTTTTTCCGGGTGGAATTTTTGAGTTTCCATATCTCAGCTCTGGAAGGGTCTAGAGCCTCCATTTTTGCACTCAGGTTTAAGTCTCTTGGCCCTCTATCAGAATTCAAAGTTTTTAGAAGATTGGAGAAACTTAATTTTTCGCCCGAAAAAAAAAAAACGAAAGGGGTACCACTGTCGGGTTTTTTTTCCGGGTGGAAATTTTGAGTTTCCATATCTCAGCTCTGGAAGGGTCTAGAGCCTCCATTTTTGCACTCAGGTTTAAGTCTCATGGCCCTCTATCAGAATCCAGAGTTTTGAGAAGATTGGAGAAATTAAATTTTTCGCCCGAAAAAAAAAAACGAAAGGGGTACCACTGTCGTTTTTTTTTTCCGGGTGGAATTTTTGAGTTTCCATATATCTCAGCTCTGGAAGGGTCTAGAGCCTCTATTTTTGCACTCAGGTTTAAGTCTCATGGCCCTCTATCAGAATCCAGAGTTTTGAGAAGATTGAAGAAACATAATTTTTCGCCGGAAAAAAAAAACGAAAGGGGTACCACTGTCGTTTTTTTTTTTTCCGGGTGGAATTTTTGAGTTTCCATATCTCAGCTCTGGAAGGGTCTAGAGCCTCCATTTTTGCACTCAGGTTTAAATCTCATGGCCCTCTATCAGAATCCAGAGTTTTGAGAAGATTGGAGAAACTTAATTTTTCGCCCAAAAAAAAAAAAAAAAACGAAAGGGGTACCACTGTCGTTTTTTTTTCCGGGTGGAAGTTTTGAGTTTCCATATCTCAGCTCTGGAAGGGTCTAGAGCCTCCATTTTTGCACTCAGGTTTAAGTCTCATGGCCCTCTATCAGAATCCAGAGTTTTGAGAAGATTGGAGAAACGTAATTTTTGGTCGAAAAAAAAAAAAACGACAGTGGTACCCCTTTGCGTGGTTCTATAATTATGCAAATGAATATCACCTTCAGTTATTGCAAACTTTGCATAAATCTTTATCGTTCATTCATGCGTTATCTAATAGAGTCAAACACTGATGAGAAAAATGCCTTTATTGCGTACACCTCACAGGTGACCAGGAGGCTGTGCACATTTTAACACCGAAACTTGAATAAACTTATGCTAAAACATTCTCAAAGACAATACATGAAACATCATGGCTTTGGGAGCAATTTATAGCATTGCTTTATTTTTTATCTGTGCAAACCGACATGAAATGCAAAGTTCCATGAGAACTGTAACAGACTTTAAAAGTGCACATCATCTTCAGAACGATCATGAGTTTGATGCGTCAGCCGGGCTTTGGTGTTCACACTCCCAACTTTTATCGCAAACACATATTTCCATATCAAAAATACTACAAACAATAATTTTACCAATTTGCAAATGATGTAATACGTGTTTAGAACCCAGTTGTGTTTATTAAAATAGTTCATTATGATGAGAGGGCAGAACTTTAAAAAGGTCAAAGGTCGCGTGTATGGCTTGTGAGGACAGATGATGGCCGGCCTCAGTGCGGGAATTATCCAGGAATCTTGGAACTGAGTCTGTGTCCATTATAAGATCTTCTGAAGAATGGAATTAGGCACTTCGAGTGTTTCATCCCTCACCAGGACAATATCATAAGAGTCCATGAACTTCTCCAGCCGCTCCTCTACCTGTGAAACACAACACGATCCTCATCCATCAGTGCAATCCCCCGAGAAAACAACAGTCAAGTGTCCTTCATTTGTACAGATCTTTTAACAATATAGACTGTTTAAAAGCAGCTTTATAGTCATAAAAGGGAATTACAGTAACAGAGATAGTTTGGGCTTTACAGCAGCTCTAGAATAAAGTTATTGTCCAGATAAATTTAGTTTTGATTGAAAAGCATGATTTTCATTGCAAAGATCATTAGTTGTTAACTTGGGATTCGCTAACAAGACACTGTTTAACTGAAAACAGAAAAGAAAAATGTGTTCTGGCCGTTCATTTGCTCAAGAACAGTGATTGGCGGCTCGAGAACGCAAACTTTGAAACAGGTTTCAAGGTGCAAGAGTTGAAAATGTGAATCCTAAACCGAATCCTAAAGGAATCGTACGCACCTTGTCATTGAGAAATCCGATCTTGAGGATGTTCTCCACGTTGGGAACGCCGTCCGCCATGTTGAGATCTCCGAGCGAGTCTCCCAGCAGGATAATGTTCCCGTTCTCCTTCAGCTGTTTGAAATACTCTGTGTTCCTCAGGGCACCGTCGTGCTTGTTGTAAACATGGACCACCTCTCCTTTAAAGCCTTTCAGAAGCCCCTGCAGGACAACAGAAGATCCTGATCACCACACGATCATCCCAGCGGATAATCTGAACCCGGGATATTAATCTGAACCCAAGATATTAATCTGAACCCAGGATAATAATCTGAACCCAGGATAATAATCTGAACCCAGGATAATAATCTGAACACAGGATATTAATCTGAACCCAGGATAATAATCTGAACACAGGATATTTATCTGAACCCAGGGTATTAATCTGAACCCAGGATAATAATCTGAACCCGATATAAAAATCTGAACCCAGGATAATAATCTGAACCCAGGGTATTAATCTGAACCCAGGGTATTAATCAGAACCCGGGATAATAATCTGAACCCAGGATATTAATCTGAACCCAGGGTATTAATCAGAACCCGGGATAATAATCTGAACCCAGGATATTAATCTGAACCCGGGATATTAATCTGAACCCAGGATATTAATCTGAACCCAGGATAATAATCTGAACCCGGGATATTAATCTGAACCCGATATATTAATCTGAACCCAGGGTATTAATCTGAACCCAGGATAATAATCTGAACCCAGGATAATAATCTGAACCCGGGATAATAATCTGAACCCAGGATATTAATCTGAACCCAGGATAATAATCTGAACCCGGGATAATAATCTGAACCCGATATATTAATCTGAACCCAGGGTATTAATCTGAACCCAGGATAATAATCTGAACCCAGGATAATAATCTGAACCCAGGATATTAATCTGAACCCAGGATAATAATCTGAACCCGGGATATTAATCTGACCCAGGATAATAATCTGAACACGGGATATTAATCTGAACCCAGGATAATAATCTGAACCCGGGATATTAATCTGAACCCAGGGTATTAATCTGAACCCAGGATAATAATCTGAACCCAGGGTATTAATCTGAACCCAGGATAATAATCTGAACCCGGGATATTAATCTGAACCCAGGATATTAATCTGAACCCAGGATAATAATCTGAACCCGGGATATTAATCTGAACCCAGGGTATTAATCTGAACCCAGGATAATAATCTGAACCCAGGGTATTAATCTGAACCCAGGATAATAATCTGAACCCAGGATATTAATCTGAACCCAGGATAATAATCTGAACCCGGGATATTAATCTGACCCAGGATATTAATCTGAACACGGGATATTAATCTGAACCCAGGATAATAATCTGAACCCAGGGTATTAATCTGAACCCAGGATAATAATCTGAACCCGGGATATTAATCTGAACCCAGGATATTAATCTGAACCCAGGATAATAATCTGAACACGGGATATTAATCTGAACCCAGGGTATTATTCTGAACCCAGGATAATAATCTGAACCCAGGGTATTAATCTGAACCCAGGATAATAATCTGAACCCGGGATATTAATCTGAACCCAGGATATTAATCTGAACCCAGGATAATAATCTGAACACGGGATATTAATCTGAACCCAGGGTATTATTCTGAACCCAGGGTATTAATCTGAACTCAGGATATTAATCTGAACTCAGGGTATTAATCTGAACCCAGGGTATTAATCTGAACTCAGGATATTAATCTGAACCCAGGATACTTATAAAGGAGACTCGAGACTCACATTCTCATCAAAATCCATGAAGTTGGACACGACTTTGACGTTGTTGTGGTAGACGCCGGCCTGTCGGATGATTTCCTCCAGAATGTCTCCCAGACCCGCGGAGAAGATGAAGACGGGAACGTTGTGCTGGAGCAGCCGGTCGAAGAACTGCTCGTACCCGTCCCTGTCAAACACATGAAGCTTTAGAGTAAAGGTCTTTGCACAGAGTCCGAAATTTTCCCACATTAAAAAATAAATACAACCTCCCGTTGTGTTAATCCCATTTACAAACTACCTGCAAAAATTCAGATCGGCTTTGATTTTCTGCGTATTTCGCATCCGTCTCAAGCATTTTGAGAGGTGTTCGACAGTTCAGAGCCACCGAATGATGAATATGAAAACACGCATATGAATGAACATTTGGACTCAGTGTGGAAGGACTGTAATAGCGGCGGTGGACAGTAGTAAAGTGTACATTTTAATTTAGGAAATGTTTACTTTTACTTCACTACAATTCAAAGCATAATATTGTACTATTTACTCTTTTGCATTTCATAAAACATATGGTTAGTCATTATTTCCAGCAGAAGAAATCCCCCCCTCTGAGATTTGAGAACGATTCTGCTGAATTGATTGACGAATCACACTGAACGATTCATTTGCGAATCAGAGTGATTCAATTGCTTATTTTAGTAGTGTATCAGGACACTATATGTAACATTTAAATTAAAGTCCCTCTTTGGTAAAAAATCTAGTTTTAAATGTTGTTTATGTGTGTATGTTGTATTATTAATACGCTTTAAACCGTGTGTGCGTTGATAAGTGGACAGCATTGCTGAGTATTTCCTCCTTAAAACTGCAGTGAACCAAAGACAGTCTCAAAAACACGCTTTGAAATCGCTGGTGTTTCTGACGTCACAAACCACCTTTAACCAATCAGATCAACGTGTGATCGTCAACCAGTGGATCTCTGAGTGACACATTTGCATATTTATAGTGCACGTTCATACATGTTTTTACATTGTGCTTGCATTTAAAAAATGTTATTGCATCTATAATGTCCCTATTGACCTTCCCTTACCCATTAACCCATGCGTACCCTACCCATACCAGCAAACCCGTCCCTACAGACAGCAACATAGTGTCGGCCCAGATCCGGCCAACATCTGGCACGTTAAATCCACGTGGGCCGGATCTAGGTGACACTATGTTGCTGTCTGGGTAACCTTACCCGTATCCACATCAACAGCAGAACAAGAGTTTTACAAAACAACATCAACACAATAAGTGCATTGTACCTAACTTGTGTTTTTAATGCAAGAATATAAGTTCAAGACTAGTATAAGTATAAGCTTGTGGAACCATCATGATGTCAGCGAGATGATGTGTTTGTACCTTAGACAGACGTCCGACTCTCTGACGACCTCTGGGAGTTTGTCCTTCTGCAATCTCTGTTCCACCAATAACGTGTGTGACTTAAAATACCTGAGGAAAAAATACTTTATTTAATTACCGAGTCTTGATGTGTTTCAAGCTCTACTAGAACAGGTTTTCCTGCTTGAATGTTGATTATTCTCCTCATATTCTCCATTGTTGCGGCTCCTCTCTTCCCAGTCTGCCAGTAACGCTCTGTTTACTTCCTGTCTCTATGAAGCCCCTCCTCCTGAAAAGCACACTGTGCTCTGATTGGTTGACTGGAGCAGTGTGTTGTGATTGGTCGAGCGCTTCGAGTGTGTTTGGGAAATGCCCTGCCCCTTTAACACACCACTAACTCACTCAACCAGGCCCCGCCCCTTTATTCTGCGTATGAATTATTATAATGAGGAATATTGTGAACTCACCACTCCACCATAAATGGGTATTTCTCCTCCATGGTGAGATGAGGGTCGATCTCTATAGGATAGTACGTCTCCTTTAACTGGTGCAGCTGGAAAACAGCACATTTTTACCACGTAAATATACTTTCACAAACTTTAAACGCTCACGTGACAGAAGAAAACGGATCTTCATCTCACACACCTGCTTCCTGCAGTCATCGGTCACCAGCTTGCAGTTATCAATGATGTCTGTGAAGGCAAATACAGATCACTGGATCTCAGACTTTCACTTCCATATATCCATCAGTTCAATTCAGTGACTTTAAAATGTATATTCTGACAGAAAGGGTTATCCTTTAAACAGGTTTTCAGAATTAATTCAGTAAAAGAATGTTATTATCCAGTAAATTATAAACTTGCACAGTTTAAGGACAATATTTCAGCTTTTTAATTGATTTAAAAACAATTATCAAGTCAAGTCATCCTCATTTATATAGCGTTTTTAACAATGTGGATTTTCCAAAGCAGCTTTACAGAGATAAACTTAATATAAGCTAAAGTTTCCAGCTAAAGTTAGTTTATTATCCACTTGCACTGACTTTTCTAATGTGGAAAGAAGTGGTTCATCCCTGAATTTCTGCATACTTTGGTGAAAACAGACCCTTTAAATTCTTATTTTACTATTCCGTGTGAAATTTGACATTCATAAATGTTTTGTTTTTTTTTCAATGAAATACATTATTTTTTTTCAAGAAAGATATTGACATATAGATGACAAGTTCATTGTTTCACTCACTGTGACATGTTGGGCAACGTTTTCCATTGACAGCAAACCTGCTCAACGTCATGTCAAAGTCTGTGATGATCTGAGGAGCAGAAGAGGGAGTCACAGATAAAGATAAACACTGATCTGGATCTGATGATTAATAACCATAAACACTGATCTGGATCTGAGGATTAATAACCATAAACACTGATCTGGATCTGATGATTAATAACCATAAACACTGATCTGGATCTGAGGATTAATAACCATAAACACTGATCTGGATCTGATGATTAATAACCATAAACACTGATCTGGATCTGATGATTAATAATGATAAACACTGATCTGGATCTGATGATTAATAATGATAAACACTGATCTGGATCTGAGGATTAATAATGATAAACACTGATCTGGATCTGATGATTAATAACCATAAACACTGATCTGGATCTGAGGATTAATAACGATAAACACTGATCTGGATCTGATGATTAATAATGATAAACACTGATCTGGATCTGAGGATTAATAACCATAAACACTGATCTGGATCTGAGGATTAATAACCATAAACACTGATCTGGATCTGATGATTAATAACCATAAACACTGATCTGGATCTGATGATTAATAACCATAAACACTGATCTGGATCTGAGGATTAATAACCATAAACACTGATCTGGATCTGAGGATTAATAACCATAAACACTGATCTGGATCTGATGATTAATAACCATAAACACTGATCTGGATCTGAGGATTAATAACCATAAACACTGATCTGGATCTGAGGATTAATAACCATAAACACTGATCTGGATCTGATGATTAATAATGATAAACACTGATCTGGATCTGAGGATTAATAACCATAAACACTGATCTGGATCTGATGATTAATAACCATAAACACTGATCTGGATCTGATGATTAATAACCATAAACACTGATCTGGATCTGATGATTAATAATGATAAACACTGATCTGGATCTGAGGATTAATAACCATAAACACTGATCTGGATCTGAGGATTAATAACGATAAACACTGATCTGGATCTGATGATTAATAACGATAAACACTGATCTGTATCTGATGATTAATAACCATAAACACTGATCTGGATCTGAGGATTAATAACCATAAACACTGATCTGGATCTGAGGATTAATAACCATAAACACTGATCTGGATCTGATGATTAATAACGATAAACACTGATCTGTATCTGATGATTAATAACCATAAACACTGATCTGGATCTGAGGATTACTAACGATAAACACTGATCTGGATCTGAGGATTAATAACGATAAACACTGATCTGTATCTGATGATTAATAACCATAAACACTGATCTGGATCTGAGGATTAATAACGATAAACACTGATCTGTATCTGATGATTAATAACCATAAACACTGATCTGGATCTGAGGATTAATAACCATAAACACTGATCTGGATCTGATGATTAATAATGATAAACACTGATCTGGATCTGAGGATTAATAACCATAAACACTGATCTGGATCTGAGGATTAATAACCATAAACACTGATCTGGATCTGAGGATTAATAACCATAAACACTGATCTGGATCTGAGGATTAATAACCATAAACACTGATCTGGATCTGATGATTAATAACCATAAACACTGATCTGGATCTGATGATTAATAACCATAAACACTGATCTGGATCTGATGATTAATAACCATAAACACAGATCTGGATCTGATGATTAATAACCATAAACACTGATCTGGATCTGAGGATTAATAACCATAAACACTGATCTGGATCTGAGGATTAATAACCATAAACACAGATCTGGATCTGATGATTAATAACCATAAACACTGATCTGGATCTGATGATTAATAACCATAAACACAGATCTGGATCTGATGATTAATAACCATAAACACTGATCTGGATCTGAGGATTAATAACCATAAACACTGATCTGGATCTGAGGATTAATAACCATAAACACAGATCTGGATCTGATGATTAATAACCATAAACACTGATCTGGATCTGATGATTAATAACCATAAACACTGATCTGGATCTGATGATTAATAACCATAAACACAGATCTGGATCTGATGATTAATAACCATAAACACTGATCTGGATCTGATGATTAATAACCATAAACACTGATCTGGATCTGAGGATTAATAACCATAAACACTGATCTGGATCTGAGGATTAATAACCATAAACACTGATCTGGATCTGAGGATTAATAACCATAAACACAGATCTGGATCTGATGATTAATAACCATAAACACTGATCTGGATCTGATGATTAATAACCATAAACACTGATCTGGATCTGAGGATTAATAACCATAAACACTGATCTGGATCTGATGATTAATAACCATAAACACTGATCTGGATCTGAGGATTAATAACCATAAACACTGATCTGGATCTGATGATTAATAACCATAAACACTGATCTGGATCTGAGGATTAATAACCATAAACACTGATCTGGATCTGAGGATTAATAACCATAAACACAGATCTGGATCTGATGATTAATAACCATAAACACTGATCTGGATCTGATGATTAATAACCATAAACACTGATCTGGATCTGATGATTAATAACCATAAACACTGATCTGGATCTGATGATTAATAACCATAAACACTGATCTGGATCTGAGGATTAATAACCATAAACACAGATCTGGATCTGAGGATTAATAACCATAAACACAGATCTGGATCTGATGATTAATAACCATAAACACTGATCTGGATCTGAGGATTAATAACCATAAACACTGATCTGGATCTGATGATTAATAACCATAAACACTGATCTGGATCTGATGATTAATAACCATAAACACTGATCTGGATCTGAGGATTAATAACCATAAACACTGATCTGGATCTGAGGATTAATAACCATAAACACTGATCTGGATCTGAGGATTAATAACCATAAACACTGATCTGGATCTGAGGATTAATAACCATAAACACTGATCTGGATCTGAGGATTAATAACCATAAACACTGATCTGTATCTGATGATTAATAACGATAAACACTGATCTGTATCTGATGATTAATAACCATAAACACTGATCTGGATCTGATGATTAATAACCATAAACACAGATCTGGATCTGATGATTAATAACCATAAACACTGATCTGGATCTGATGATTAATAACCATAAACACTGATCTGGATCTGAGGATTAATAACCATAAACACTGATCTGGATCTGAGGATTAATAACGATAAACACTGATCTGGATCTGAGGATTAATAACGATAAACACTGATCTGTATCTGATGATTAATAACCATAAACACTGATCTGTATCTGATGATTAATAACCATAAACACTGATCTGGATCTGAGGATTAATAACCATAAACACTGATCTGGATCTGAGGATTAATAACCATAAACACTGATCTGGATCTGATGATTAATAACCATAAACACTGATCTGGATCTGATGATTAATAACCATAAACACTGATCTGGATCTGATGATTAATAACCATAAACACTGATCTGGATCTGATGATTAATAACCATAAACACTGATCTGGATCTGAGGATTAATAACCATAAACACTGATCTGGATCTGATGATTAATAACCATAAACACTGATCTGGATCTGAGGATTAATAACCATAAACACTGATCTGTATCTGATGATTAATAACCATAAACACTGATCTGGATCTGAGGATTAATAACCATAAACACTGATCTGGATCTGATGATTAATAACCATAAACACTGATCTGGATCTGAGGATTAATAACCATAAACACTGATCTGGATCTGATGATTAATAATGATAAACACTCATCTGGATCTGAGGATTAATAACCATAAACACTGATCTGGATCTGAGGATTAATAACCATAAACACTGATCTGGATCTGAGGATTAATAACCATAAACACTGATCTGGATCTGAGGATTAATAACCATAAACACTGATCTGGATCTGATGATTAATAACCATAAACACTGATCTGGATCTGATGATTAATAACCATAAACACTGATCTGGATCTGATGATTAATAACCATAAACACTGATCTGGATCTGAGGATTAATAACGATAAACACTGATCTGGATCTGAGGATTAATAACCATAAACACTGATCTGGATCTGATGATTAATAACCATAAACACTGATCTGGATCTGAGGATTAATAATGATAAACACTGATCTGGATCTGAGGATTAATAACCATAAACACTGATCTGGATCTGATGATTAATAACCATAAACACTGATCTGGATCTGATGATTAATAACCATAAACACTGATCTGGATCTGATGATTAATAATGATAAACACTGATCTGGATCTGAGGATTAATAACCATAAACACTGATCTGGATCTGATGATTAATAATGATAAACACTGATCTGGATCTGAGGATTAATAACCATAAACACTGATCTGTATCTGATGATTAATAACCATAAACACCGATCTGGATCTGATGATTAATAACCATAAACACTGATCTGGATCTGAGGATTAATAACCATAAACACTGATCTGGATCTGATGATTAATAACCATAAACACTGATCTGGATCTGATGATTAATAACCATAAACACGGATCTGGATCTGAGGATTAATAACCATAAACACTGATATGGATCTGAGGATTAATAACCATAAACACTGATCTGATATGATTATAAATAACGATAAACACTGATCTGGATCTGATGATTAATAACCATAAACACTGATCTGGATCTGATGATTAATAACCATAAACACTGATCTGTATCTGATGATTAATAACCATAAACACCGATCTGGATCTGATGATTAATAACCATAAACACTGATCTGGATCTGAGGATTAATAACCATAAACACTGATCTGGATCTGATGATTAATAACCATAAACACTGATCTGGATCTGATGATTAATAACCATAAACACGGATCTGGATCTGAGGATTAATAACCATAAACACTGATATGGATCTGAGGATTAATAACCATAAACACTGATCTGATATGATTATAAATAACGATAAACACTGATCTGGATCTGATGATTAATAACCATAAACACTGATCTGGATCTGATGATTAATAACCATAAACACTGATCTGGATCTGAGGATTAATAACCATAAACACTGATCTGGATCTGAGGATTAATAACCATAAACACAGATCTGGATCTGATGATTAATAACCATAAACACTGATCTGGATCTGAGGATTAATAACCATAAACACTGATCTGGATCTGAGGATTAATAACCATAAACACTGATCTGGATCTGAGGATTAATAACCATAAACACTGATCTGGATCTGATGATTAATAATGATAAACACTGATCTGGATCTGAGGATTAATAACCATAAACACAGATCTGGATCTGAGGATTAATAACGATAAACACTGATCTGGATCTGAGGATTAATAATGATAAACACTGATCTGGATCTGAGGATTAATAACCATAAACACTGATCTGGATCTGAGGATTAATAACCATAAACACTGATCTGGATCTGAGGATTAATAACCATAAACACTGATCTGGATCTGATGATTAATAATGATAAACACTGATCTGGATCTGAGGATTAATAACCATAAACACTGATCTGGATCTGATGATTAATAACCATAAACACTGATCTGGATCTGATGATTAATAACCATAAACACTGATCTGGATCTGATGATTAATAATGATAAACACTGATCTGGATCTGAGGATTAATAACCATAAACACTGATCTGGATCTGAGGATTAATAACGATAAACACTGATCTGTATCTGATGATTAATAACGATAAACACTGATCTGTATCTGATGATTAATAACCATAAACACTGATCTGTATCTGATGATTAATAACCATAAACACTGATCTGTATCTGATGATTAATAACCATAAACACTGATCTGGATCTGAGGATTAATAACCATAAACACTGATCTGGATCTGAGGATTAATAACCATAAACACTGATCTGGATCTGATGATTAATAACCATAAACACTGATCTGGATCTGATGATTAATAACCATAAACACTGATCTGGATCTGATGATTAATAACCATAAACACTGATCTGGATCTGATGATTAATAACCATAAACACTGATCTGGATCTGAGGATTAATAACCATAAACACTGATCTGGATCTGATGATTAATAACCATAAACACTGATCTGGATCTGAGGATTAATAACCATAAACACTGATCTGTATCTGATGATTAATAACCATAAACACTGATCTGGATCTGAGGATTAATAACCATAAACACTGATCTGGATCTGATGATTAATAACCATAAACACTGATCTGGATCTGAGGATTAATAACCATAAACACTGATCTGGATCTGATGATTAATAATGATAAACACTCATCTGGATCTGAGGATTAATAACCATAAACACTGATCTGGATCTGAGGATTAATAACCATAAACACTGATCTGGATCTGAGGATTAATAACCATAAACACTGATCTGGATCTGAGGATTAATAACCATAAACACTGATCTGGATCTGATGATTAATAACCATAAACACTGATCTGGATCTGATGATTAATAACCATAAACACTGATCTGGATCTGATGATTAATAACCATAAACACTGATCTGGATCTGAGGATTAATAACGATAAACACTGATCTGGATCTGAGGATTAATAACCATAAACACTGATCTGGATCTGATGATTAATAACCATAAACACTGATCTGGATCTGAGGATTAATAATGATAAACACTGATCTGGATCTGAGGATTAATAACCATAAACACTGATCTGGATCTGATGATTAATAACCATAAACACTGATCTGGATCTGATGATTAATAACCATAAACACTGATCTGGATCTGATGATTAATAATGATAAACACTGATCTGGATCTGAGGATTAATAACCATAAACACTGATCTGGATCTGATGATTAATAATGATAAACACTGATCTGGATCTGAGGATTAATAACCATAAACACTGATCTGTATCTGATGATTAATAACCATAAACACCGATCTGGATCTGATGATTAATAACCATAAACACTGATCTGGCTCGTGTTGTGGACGCTGTATGTGTGTTTGAGTGTCCCTGTACCTGCAGTTTCGGCGCTCCACCTTTAATGAGACTGCAGATGATCTGCTCCACTCGCTCCGGGTCTCTGATGTGGACCGTGCTCTTCTCAAACTCAGGCATCTGCACACACACACACACACACGACCAATGAGAGCGTCTCTGGCGACGTCACTGCAGAGAGGGAGGAGCCAGACAGAGACACTGGTTCTAGGATATCCATATATCACAGGTAAACAGCGTTCACATTAATAACTCCAAGCTAAACTCACTACTTAAATGCATTCTAATATTTCTAAAACACGTCATATCATATTTACAGTCTTCATGCTTTGGCTGCAATATAAATATTACATATTAGAGAAGTGTTATGATATATTTGTAGCTTTCATGCAATTTTTAGTTCCATCTTTTTGTAATTCCAATTGCTTCTTTAAAATTTACTATTTAGGTTTAATATAAGTATTTATTTATTTTTATACAGTTAATAATTTTAGTGCTTCAACACACATTTCTATTTTTGGTTTAGTTTAAGGTTTCAAACTAATATTTATGTCAATGAACATTAATGTTTTTGGTAACTCTTTACAATCAGGTTCATTAGTTAACATTAGTTTAACTAACACACACTAACAATGAGCAATACAGTACATTTCTTACAGTATTTATTCATCTTTGTTAGGGTTAGTTAATAAAAACAGTCGTTCAGTGTTAGTTCACAGTGCAGTAACTAATGTTCACCAATACAACCTTTGATTTTAATAACATATTAGTAAATGTTGAAATTAACTAGATTAATAAATGCTGTAGAAGTATCCATGTTAATTAAGGTAATGAACGTATTGTAAAGTGTTAGCATGTTTGTAATGTTTAGTTGAGTTAGAGACTGGTCTCAGTACTGGTGAACAGGTCAGGGTTAGACTGTAATTCAGTCAGTGTCGACATGTCGTCCGTCACGGAGAAGGTCGGGTCTCTTCCAAAAATACATTGAACAACAACATAACTGTGATCCACCCCTCAAACACACACACACACACACACACACACATGGTAAACAGACCCGAGTCTTCACGAGAGACAGATCGAGCGGTTCTGAAGTCTACCAGATGAGACCGTATTAATCATAACTCATAAGTGTTAGCATTAACATCGACCGCATGCACAACATGTCAATAATGCACTTCTGTTTGCATGCAAGCAATCGCAAAAGCACCGATATATGATTTATGTCGTGTCCTGGCATCGTAAGCATAAACTCGTATAACTGGAGTGTGTGTTCACGGCATACCTCGACCTCCGGCAGGCGTCGTGTCAAACAGAAGAAAATGTTTTTTATCTGACACACACTTATATAGTCCTGACACACACACAGGGCGTTCCCTTAAAACTGACAACACCCCATCTAACCCCCACAGGGTGTCACATGACACAAACACCCCTCTTAAAGACACACACACACACACTTAAAGCATGCAAAACAACTCTAAACACTACACCGATAGATGTGTCAACATTGACCTTTGGTTAATGAGGGATTCTGCTAAAGGTCGAGTGATCGTGTGGCTCAGTGCGGTCAGGGTTCGACTCCGCTATCATGCGTTCGGCTGGATCTGAGATGATAAGTGGACCTGACTGTACATGCATTATGGATTTCTCATAGTTATGGGAGAGTCAGTTTCTGATAAGACACACTGCACCGGCTTTAATCGTCACACACTGATTGTTTCAATGCTTGAACGCTGTCATCTGACCCCAGGCTGCCTATCAGTCGTCAGAAGTCAAATATAGTCTCTGATAGTGAACATTAACACACATGTGTCAAGAAAGCACTGTTTGCTATTAGATTATCAGATGTGAACTGTTCCTGTTCATCACACGCAGCGCTTGTGTCACTTCCGAGTCCTTATGGATTACCTTTACCAATGTGTTTCTGATGAGGTTAAAGGAGTCGCTCGCTTCAGATCTGGTGTTGTTCTGGGCTCTACTAGAGCAGGTTTTCATGCTTGTATGTTAAAAACACGTTCTTCTCTCCATACTTCCCGGTCCGAGGCTGTTAACGGATGCTATACGCCTGTTTTGAAGCTGTTAGTCCGCATTGTTTTAACTAATATCTTAAATAATCACGCTTAACAGCGGAATTCCTGGTAAAAACTACATTACCCATGATTCTGAAAAAATCTCCACCAATCAGAGAATCAAAACAAGCCAATGGCTCTTTTAGTTCCACCCACTCCCATGAGGCACTGCGATGACATAATCAATCTCTCTCCCTCACTCTCAAACTGCTTAAATGTTTGCGTACATATATGCATATTTTGCAATAAACCTTAAATATATTGTTTCAACATCTTTAAAGGTACAATATGTATGATTTTTTTTTGTAATAAAATATTCAAAAACCACTTGCACAGTGTGATATATTACTTTATCCCAAAAGTTCCCAAGGATTTCTAAAAGAGAAATTCTAGTTTTAAATAACGGCTCGTCTCTTGTTGCATATCAATCACGTTATATCCGCATTTCCGCTTGTAGAAATCATAGAAATAGATGACTGGGGATCTATGTGTATATATCTATGATGCAGCATCTCGCACGCTGTTGTGTCGTTCGGTCCTCTTGGTTCACGATTACTGACTGACAAGAACAGAAATTACAACTCAGTTGATATGGGTAGCAATATTCAATTTGAATTGTAATATGCAAAATGACAATACATTTCTGTATTTAAATTTATATTTGCCATTACATTTGTGCAACGTTTGGTGCAAAATGAAAATGTAACTATATAATTTACACTTCCCATTTCATACACTAGTTTTAATATGTAAATTGAATACATATTTTTAACGCTTTTATAAGTTGCCAATTTAAAATAAAAATGTATTACAGAAATGATTGGATAGGTTTAACATGTTGATGATGAACGGTCATTTAAATGTTACTTTTCTTAATTGCATTTACACTCACAGTTAAGACACTCGCGATTGCATTTTCATGAAATGTCGCGCAGTGAACGTAGCACTATCGCTCCGAGGCGATCAGGCCCCGCCCCCTCAATCACGGTGAAAACTTACATACTGTACCTTTAACTCAACAGTTTTATATTCATCCACTGTATTTATTTTGATTATCATTCGCAATGCTTCATGGGATTGTAGTTCAGTTCAGTCTTCAACATTTCGTCTTTTTTGTTGGACTTTCAAACAAGTTTACATCTCTGTAGTACATTTCTCAAAACATCCTCGACATTTTAAGTGTATTTCTAAAAACAATTCGTACAAATCGCGAAACACCAAGCCAGTCTCTTGCTCACAATCCTCAGTTCATCTCTCAGAAGTGAATATCTGTCAGTGCATCAGGATGACAAGTGCTTGTGTACTCTGGGGATGTTCTGATGTAAACTATGGCTAAAGTTTTAATGACCATTATTGCAAATTGTCAGTTACACACATTAGTGTTGAGGGAGTGTGATTGCAAAAGACTGGACATGTCATTGCAATGCAGAAAGGAAAAGAAAGCACTGTATGGCACAAAAACAAAAAAGAAAATGTGAACAAAGGACAATCTCCTGAGGGAAACCTGCACATATTATGACTACATGTTCAAGCATTTTGCATGTAAAGACTTGCTGTGAACTAAAGACTGATGGTGTGGGCGTGAGACCCATTATAATGCATTCAACATGACATAAGCGATCGATAATGTAGGAAACAGTAGATAATTGTACGTAATCATATACCAAGGCATTAGCAACTTGTTCAAAGAAATAAGAAACTGCTTTTTTGATGCACGAGAGACACGATGATGAAGATTGAACAGGTCGTTCAGAGAATTTCAATTCTGATCTGAGAAAGGCACCAAAGCGACTGAGAAAAACAACTGTAAGCCTGCAGTGATTGTTATTTTAGTATCTCGAGGCATTAAAGAAGACAATAACCTGTAAAAAAGCTATTTTCTTTACATTTGCAAAGAGAAATGTTTGAGGTGGGGCGTTCTGACTGAGAGTGACACAATAAAATGTCTTTATTTTGACTGATATATTGTATAATATATTGTTTCTATATGCCAATCAACAGTTTTATATTCATCCAGTTTTTAAATATGTTATTCGCAATGCCTCATGGGATACTACTTCTAAAGCAGGTCAGTAGTCTCAGAGCCCGTCGGATTCGTCAAGTTTAAACATACGCCTGCTTAGATAAGACAATAACCTGTAAAAAGCTATTTCCTAGTGGGGTGATCGACAGAAAGTGACACTATAAAGTGTGTGTTTATTCTGCCTGAGCGCGGGATGACCTCTACAGCACAGCTACGCAGTTCGTGACGTCAGAGGCGCGCGCGGGGCCCCTGATGATGGCAGAAGCTTCACGCGACCACCGTCTTCATCTTCATCATCGTCACCTACATATTTACATTCAACGACAGACAGATGTCAACTTCCGGCTTGTGTCAGCCTGGTGTTACGCGCCGCTCGTTCCCGCGCAGTGAAAGCCATTACACAGATTGTATATAGATATAAGCTCACCATTTCTATGATCTTGGTTTTCTTCCCTGCTCTCTGCTTTTTGCTGAGCATGTACTGCGCGAGCACGACTCCTCCGAAGAGCGCGCACACAGTAGCGCTCGCCACCGCGCCGACTTTCACCACCGCACTCCTGTCCATCTCTCCTCCGGTTAGAAGATCCCGTCGCACACACTCTGCGTTCACGGGCTGGCAGAAGCACTGAAGACCCGGATGACGCACTACTGTAGTCCACATGTGAAGTGTGCAACCAGAGCACACTCCGTCACACACACTGCAGCGCGCACAGTGGCCGGCAGGGGTCCCTCACCTCAAATATTATTTAAAATGAGATAAAGATGTTAGTCGATTGTTTTATATGTGATAATAACGCAATGAAACAACATTTTCATCAGGGAGACGCTATAGACAACCACGAGCGACAAGGTTTAACATTTTTTTTTTTTTTTCTGCCCAGTCCTGTATTTAGTGACTGATTTTTAAAAACGGAGGAAGGCTGACAGACACACACACACACACACACACACACACACACACACACACTCTCTCTCTCTCTCTCTCTCTCTCTCTCTCTCTCTCTCTCTCTCTCTCTCTCTCTCTCTCTCTCTCACGTTTTATTAAATTTTCTATATGGACAAGCTAAAATAGCAATTTGGTTGTCACGAAAAAGAAAATTGAATGATGGTGTATTTTTTTTTTTTTAATGCTCTCTTTTTAATTGGAAAAATTTACTAAAGATATTATACCTTAAATGTTTTTGTAAATAAAGTGATCTTAAAGTCAAAAAAAGTCTATGTATTAATACAATTGTATGTCTAGCCAAATTCTTCATTCATAAGTGTAGAATTGTGAAATCATCTCCCAAATTTGTAGTTTTCTTGAAGGAATTTGAACTGTATATAAAATCCTTAAAAACTTTGAAAGGTCCTAAGGCACAAAACATATATGATACCCTAAAACTCTTCCCAACTGAGATTAATGGATGAACAAAGACTGCATTCACCCCTTATTGTCATGTATGTTTTATCATAATTCTTCCCATTTACTTATTTATTTATGGGTTTTTTTATGTTTATTTTCCTTACAAATATCCTTTTTGTACTTAGACTTCATTTATTTTCTTGTTGTATTAAGTGCTGCTCCCTCTGGCTATATTTTCTTTGTACTCTATATAAGAAAAGAAAGTTATGCAGGCATGTTTGTTTGTAAATCTTGAAATTGCAATAAAAAAAAGACTCTCTCTCTCTCTCTCTCTCTCTCTCTCTCTCTCACACACACACACACACACACACACACACTCTCTCTCTCTCTCTCTCTCTCTCTCTCTCTCACACACAGATCCTCGATCACGGAAGAGGGCGGAGACTCTCTCTCTCACACACACACACACACACACACACACACACATACACACACATCCGCAGTCGCTGTGACTCCTCGTCGGACTCCTCCACTCACTCGTCCCGGAGAATCTCTCGGTCAGGATGAACTTCCAGGGCTATGGCGCTCCAGCAGCGGGAGGGGTATGAGTGTGTTCAGTGTGTGTTCATGATGTGATCTGTGTGTTGACGATGTGATCTGTGTGTTGATCTGGAAAGCTCGATGATGCGGATTGATACACGTCGGTCAGATGGAGATCTGGATAACGCAGTTTCGGGATGATCTGTAGTTCTGGATATATTCCTGGTGTAGTGGCTGATGGAAAGGGGAATTGTTCCGTTTAAAGGTCAGAGGGTTAGGTTAGGGTTAGGTTAGATTCGACATCAGTGTTGCTGGTCGCCCACCTCGGGTTTACCTCTAAACACACTTGCTCTTCTCCGCTCGTTGCAGTGACCCTTGGCTGGGTGTGTCGGTTGAATGTTTGTAGTGTTGTAGACCAGTGGGTTAGTCCAAGACTGCGCATGCTCAGTGGCTCCCAGTAAGGCAGGGCTGCACGATATTGAAGAAAAATGCAATAGCTCATCAAATAATGCTTAAAGTGTGTAAAATAAACTTAAATTATCTTTAAAATATATTTAAAATTATATAAGCTACATATATGTGTTTCACAATCTGTTTGTGACCAGAAAGCATCTCTAGACCAGTGTTTTACTGAAGTGTTTAACATCATTGTAAACCACAGGGGTCAGGTTATCCTACCTACATTAGGGTTATTTTTTATTCAACAACAGAAACTGAATTAATCAAATGTAAAAATAAATCACTGATAGTTTTCACTGTATGAATTAACCTACACTGATTCTCATTAACGCCAGAATTGACGAGAATTGGCACTGGCTGGTTACTTCCGGGTTCTGGACTGGCTGCAGTAACGCGTCTCTGTCCATGCGGGGGCGCTCGCGGTCGAGTGCAGAATGAATGGGAGTCAATGGGGTTTCACCCCCAGAAATCCACTTTTCTCAGGATGTAATTTTTTGTCAAGTAATTTGAAAGTTGCATCCAAAAGGGAGGGCTAAGATAATACACTCAGCTGAAAATTGCATTTTTAAGTTCACTTATCTGTTCTAAAAATCCGTTCAAAACTGTGATGATGTCACACAATAGCAGAATGCTAGCGTGCTCCGGCCAACAACAGCCTAACCTGTAAGAAATCAAAAGGACATAAGTACTCGTTCATTCGACTTTTGGCCTATAATCTATATTGAACTTGCGGAATCAACAATAAAATCTATGTTGATTTAACGACAAGCAGGTGAAAGAGACACTTTTAGCCGTTTAGCCCCATAGACTCCCATTCATTCTGCTCTCGCGATCACCTCCAGTGGAATTATAATTAACTGCAACCAAGATGATCCACAACGGGGCTAATAGGAAGTGCCGAGGCTCTCCGTTAGACGGGCTCTGAACGCTGCTAAAGTTATTCAGCCGAGAGCAGCGAGTGATGTTCTCTGTCTTTTGTTCATGACCCCGGTTATTGGTTATTGCAAGCCGTCACGATATGCGATAGGCTAATTCTGCAATATTTCGATATAATGTGCAGCCCTAGTTCCCAGTCAATCCAATTCTGATGATCTGAAGTGCTTGGTTTAGAAATGGTGAAATCAAGAAAGCTCAAACAAATGTTCATCATGTGTGAAAAAGCAGGTTTGCATAATTCCCTTCTGTATATCACATATCAGTCCCTCTCAATAACTTTAGTTACGCTCACATGATCATACTTCCTTTGTTAAATCGGGTGTTAAAGTTCCCCTGTGGGGATAATCCAGCTTTAATGTTGTTTATGTGTGTATGTGGTGTCTTTAATGTGCTTTAACACAAACCATGTGTAAAACAAATATACTAAGTATACTTGCAGCCAGACTAATAATCTGTATACTTCAAGTGTTTTAATCATTAGTTAACATGAAGTGTGCTGTTTTGAAACAACTAATTTTGTACTAATTATACAGTTCTGTGCAGAAGTCTAAGACACACTAGTATTTTCGCCTCAAAGAAATGGTTTTAAGCCAGTTATTTATATATTTGTTGTAGGAAATATCAGTTTACATTTCCAGACATTAATTGTGCCATTAATTGTAATAATAATCCAGTGAAATTTGGATTCTGACAACAGCCAATGCTCCACACGGAGGTCGGATCTTACCATCATCGAGTGCATCTGAAATTATAACAGAAAAAACAGAGACTAAGACCAGAAGAACTGTGGCAACGTTCCCAAAGACGCTTGTTAAAACCTGCAAAACTAAAAACTATGTGCAATACCTGGACAAAAGCTGTTTTAAACGTAAAGGGTACTAAACACCTATTGATTTGATTTAGTTAACTGTTAAAAGTTAATAATAGTTAACTAATAAAATGAATTGATAAATAAAATCTATTTATGATTATGACATTATTTTTGAAAACATTCTCATTTACAGCATTTTTACACAAGTGCTTTTTCACAGTACTGCAGCTTTGCAGGCCGGCCGGCACCACCATCGAGACGCTGCCGCAGTTCTTCAGGTCTTTCTCTGTTTTTTCTGTTTCTGGTCAGCTCAAGACAAAGCAACTTAATGTCCATAATATTATTTTTCAAACATTTCAGAGATAACTTGCATCATAACAATGAAGCTAAATTGTTTAGGAAATCAGAAATAAATACACAGCTTAATTTTGCAAATAAAGATAACGTTAATGCAAGGTTGTACATGTTATAATAATGACTAATTCAGTTTTTTTGCAGATGAATTAGACACTGTTTTATAGTTCGAGTCGCTGGTGAAACCCATCCAGAGTTTTACAGGTTTAAAATAACCTAGCCAAATCAATAAAGGCTTTTTAACCTTTCTAAAGAGTGCCTTTGAGTTTCCTGAATTTGTTAACGTGTTTTATAGTTGTTTTAAGACAGATAAACACATTTATCAAAGACTTAGACTATTTGCCCAGTGCTGCAGTTGCTGGAAATCAGTGTCTGTCCGCATCATGTTACAGTGGTTAACGTCAGTGTTCACGTGCTAGTCATGTTAGCAAATGCAAAGCAGACCTATCCTCCTATTTATTAATGCAAACAGCAACTAAAACTGTTCTGAGGGCAGATCTCCATCTCTTCAAATCTGCTTCCACTGGACCTGAAAAGCTTGGCTCTGATTGGTCAGATTGAAGCTGCACTGTAAAAGAAGCGCTGTGACTCCGCCTCCGAAACTTAAAAAAAAAATCAGATCAGGTTTGATTTTCTGCATTTTTCGCATCCGTACTAGCAAGCAGTATGAATCGTGTTTGAGCCATCTAATGACAAAAATGTAAACACATATGAAAATTTCAGACTCGGTGTGCAAGGGGCTTTAGTCAAAAACAGCACTGGCACAGACGGGTAGTGTTAATGTACAATCACAGAATAATGAGGTTCAGCATGTCACACGCCGTGAAAGCCTGAAGAAGCTGGGCAAGATTAAAGACTACTGTGTTTTCTATTCAATAGTTCCCCCAAAATAAAAACCTAAATTGTGTCGTGATCACTCACCCTTCAGTCTTTCCAAACCATTCGTTAGAAAAGAAAAGAAAGAAAGACTGACATATTTGAATGAAACCTGAGAGATGTACATCCCTGCGACGAACGGTTCACCAGATCGGGTCACGTTTAAAAAAGGTCATCGCAAAAAAACATCACCTAATCAATCTAAATTAATCGTGTGGTTTCCCCTAGTCCTCTACAGAGACGTGACCACTTTATTTATTTATACAGGTTAAATGTAGACTTCTGAGTCCTTGTCCACACACACACACACGCACGCACATGGGTATTTTTATAACTTTTTTTCCACTAGGGAAAGTTTTAGAAACACTGGTGTTTCTGACGTCACAAACGAGCTTGTAACCAGTCAGATGAAAGTGTGATCGTCAACCAGTGGATCTCTGAGTGAGGGAGTGAGGCGGGGCTCATTTGCATATTCATAGAACCACGCATACTAAATGAGACAAGGGTGTCGAGTTACATTCAAGATATTTTAAGGCACGAAGACAAGGAAAAAACATTTAAATATGTAATTTTGGTGATCCGAGATGAGTTTTAAGGGATGAAATGATTGACCACAAATACAAAGTGTAGGATCTTGCTCAAGGACACTGAAGTAATGGATGGCTTCGAATGTTTTAAACCTGCAGCCTTTCAGATTCGAGTCCAGATCCTCTTGTGCAAAACCGTGATTTCCACATTTCCTCTTCTCACGGTTCAGTTATTTTCTTTTCCTCTTTATAAATAATGAAGTACAATATTGAAGTATTCTTGTTTGCCTATTCACTTAGTGAACACCACATGCAAATTAGTGCTGTGAAACGATTAATCGCATCCAAAACAAAAGTTTGTCTTTACATAATATAAGTGTGTGTGTGTGTGTGTACTGTGAATAATTATTTTGTATATTTAAATAAATAAACACACATGCATGTATATATTTAAGAAATATTTTCATGTACATATAATTATATAGAAATATTTTATATATAAATAAAACGTTTCTTAAATATTTACATGCATGTGTGTTTATTTATATATGCATAATAATTATACACAGTAATCAGCCGGTGTGTTGTCTAGCTCCGCCCCCCGTGTGTGATTGACAGACTGAACTACAGCAGAAACCCGTCTGATAACAGGATCAGTGTGTGAGAGACGCGCCAGCTTTAGACACGAGTGTGAATCTAAACTCATTCCTCTCCCTTTTCCCATCACATTTCAGCTCAGAGAGATTTATTTAACCCTAAAACCGTATTCTGGACAAATGTGGGCAAAATAGTTTTGATTTATTAAAAAAAAACACTTCCCTTGATCTGAGCGGTACAAGACTTGGCTACTTTACCTAAGTTTGCCTCCTGAACACACACAATTCTACAATGTTAAAAGGGTGAAAAAAAAACTCTTAATCTTGTATTTGGGTCAAAAATGGGCACCCATAGAAATGAATGGGAAAAACTGTAATTTAGAGCATTCGAAAACAAGCCAAAAAAAGACACCAGGTGACGGCAAAGTCACTTCATCTTTAGGTTTTAGCTCTAAGAACTTATTGGAATGATATTCCAATAATATTCCAATAATAATTAAACAAATTAAAAAAATAAAACATAAAAATAAGCATAATTTACATAAAAAATATGGTACTTTTTGAAGTAAATAAATTCAAAAATACCCCCAAAATAAACAAAAACACCATAAATGGATAGACAAAACTTTATCGAAGACAGTGATATAACATTTATAATAAATAAAAACTAGGATCACACCTGAGTCCTCTGTGCCCACATTTGTCCACAATTACAGGATTAAGGGCTATATAAAGTGATGGTTGAGGGCTACAAAATAAGATTTAAAAAGTGGAAATAAAGTGCAGAACAGTAGTTAATATTCAGGTAGGGATGGGACGAGTAATTTCCCAATAAAATACAAGAACTACTTGCACTTACATTTTGTTGCTGTTTATTTAGACTGTCAATCAGACTGCCTTATACATAATATGCTCATAGGTGATGTCATTTTACTGTAAAGTATACATTAAGTGTTTACTTGAAAATAAATAAATGTAACAGTACAGTTATATATAATGCACTGTTAGACCTTTCATGGTGTTTCTCTGTATGGTAACGTAACTTCAACAGTTTTATTACCGCTCTGTCTGTAGAATATCTTTTGTCTGTGTAAAAATGCCTTGTGATCCTGTTTCCCGCAGTTTCCCGGAGGATTCCCCGGACAGCAGCAGGATCCTCTGTTCGGATACTTCACCACAGTCGCAGGACAGGTGAGAGCTCCTCATAGAAGGTTTAAATGCAGTACATCATTAGCTACTTCTCATCTCATTCTGCAGAACTGCGCCTGTATTTTTTTCTGATATGAATATTATGTATTAGGGATGCACAATATATCGGCCGATAATGTTATCGTTGTCGGGCCGATATATTAAAGCTGATAAATCCACTGAGACTCTTCAGACGCCACTGTCCAACATGATGATTATGAACTGCTTGAAATATGATTGAAAATCTCTTAGAAAGGGAAAATCTGTGTCATATCAGCGACACAACACTATTATAAGAACATCATGATTGTGTGTTTGGGACGTGGCTTTTAACGGCGGGAACTTTAGTTTTTTTAATCAGGCTCTCAAAAATGGATTTAGATTTATCGGCTTCCAAGTATAAAGAATTATCGGTTATCGACCAAAATGTTCATATCGGTGCATCCTTAATGATGTAATTCTAAATGTTATCAATGTTGTAATAAGAGTTTGTGTGTGTTCAGGATGGCCAGATCTCTGCAGAAGAGCTGCAGGCGTGTTTGACTCAGGCCAACTTCTCTGGCGGCTACAGACGTAAGACCCGCTTCCTCCAGCACAAATACACACTTCACATAGTTCACATAAACTCTCATTACTTATTTATCACACATTCTTTGTCTTGCAGCTTTCAACATTGAGACGTGTAGACTGATGATCAGCATGCTCGACGTATCCTTCTCGCTCACACTGAACACACACACACACACACACTCTGAAGGGTTTCAAACCGATTACACATGAGACTTTAGGGTTACACGACTGACACGACACCTTCATAATCATAACAGGACACATGAATATGAACATTTATGCATGTTTATGACTGTCATTAAGTGTCATTCACTCAATTATGACATTTTTAATACAAATATGACATTGTTTGAGATGTCTTTTTGAGAACTTGACATAAACCAATACATCATAACCTGTCATAAAGATGTCATAAACATATCAGATTCAAGTAAAGTGTTACGGAGTTGGCCTGGTCTGTTTGTGAGTGTTCTCCGTGACTGAACGCTTCTCCAGAGAGACATGTCTTGTGCGATGGGCTTCAATGAGTTCAAGGAGCTGTGGGGGGTCCTGAGCGGCTGGAAGCAGCACTTCATGAGCATCGACCGGGACATGAGCGGCACCGTCGACCCGCAGGAGATGACCCAGGCCATCGCCTCCATGGGTGAGGCCGCACACGCGTCTGTCCGTCCAGCTTTGTTCACCAGCATCTGATTCCTGAATCACAGGGATTCGGCTCTGTCGAATCATGAATAAACCTTTGACTAGTCCGATCACAGCGAACATTCAGATCTGTGTTCTGATCCAGAGACACATCTCTGTCTTACAGTCACTCAGATGATCACAGAGGGACTGCGATATAAGTGTAGAGTTCAGATATAAACACTGATGTCTACAGTAGCGATCAAATACAGGAAATCACCGTTTGAAAGTAATTTGACTCTTCAAATAAAGATTGTGATGCATCGTTACACCAGTAGGCGGAGACAAGCGACGGTTATTCAAGAGATTCGTTCAAAAACACTGATTCATTAAGAGATTTGTTCAAAAACACTGATTCATCCAGTGATGAAACCGGTGAAGTATTTATTAGTGAGTCATTGAACGTTCACTCAAGAGATTCATTCAAAAACACTGATTCATCAAGAGATTCGTTCAAAAACACTGATTCATCCAGTAATGAAACAAGTGAAGCGTTTATTAGTGAGTCATTGAATCGTTCAATCAAGAGATTCATTCAAAAAACACTGATTCATCCAGTAATGAAACAAGTGAAGTCTTTATTAGTGTGTCATTGAATCGTTCACTCAAGAGATTCATTCAAAAACACTAATTCATCAAGAGATTCATTCAACAACACTGATTCATCCAGTAATGAATCAAGTTAAGTATTTATTAGTGAGTCATTAAATCGTTCACTCAAGAGATTCATTCAAAAACACTAATTCATCAAGAGATTCATTCAAAAACACTGATTCATCCAGTAATGAAACAAGTGAAGTGTTTATTAGTGAGTCATTGAATCATTCTCTCAAGAGATTTATTCAAAAAACACTGATTCATCCAGTAATGAAACAAGTGAAGTCTTTATTAGTGTGTCATTGAATCGTTCACTCAAGAGATTCATTCAAAAACACTAATTCATCAAGAGATTCATTCAACAACACTGATTCATCCAGTAATGAATCAAGTTAAGTATTTATTAGTGAGTCATTGAATCGTTCACTCAAGAGATTCATTCAAAAACACTAATTCATCAAGAGATTCATTCAAAAACACTGATTCATCCAGTAATGAAACAAGTTAAGTATTTATTAGTGAGTCATTGAATCGTTCACTCAAGAGATTCATTCAAAAACACTGATTCATCAAGAGATTCGTTCAAAAACACTGATTCATCCAGTAATGAAACAAGTGAAGTGTTTATTAGTGAGTCATTGAATCATTCACTTAAGAGATTCATGCAAAAACACTGATTCATCAAGTTATGAAAGTAGTGAAGTCTTTATTAGTGACTCATTGAATCATTCACTCAAGAGATTCATTCAAAAACACTGATTCATCCAGTAATGAAACAAGTGAAGTCTTTATTAGTGAGTCATTTAATAATTTACTTAAGAGATTCATTCAAAAACACTGATTCATTCAGTAATGAAACCGGTGGAGTATTTATTAGTGAGTCATTGAATCATTCTCTCAAGAAATTCATTCAAAAACACTAATTCATCCAGTAATGAAACAAGTGAAGTCTTTATTGGTGAGTCATTGAATCGTTCACTCAAGAGATTCATTCAAAAACACTGATTCATTCAGTAATGAAACCGGTGGAGTATTTATTAGTGAGTCATTGAATCATTCACTCAAGAGATTCATTCAAAAACACTGATTCATCCAGTAATGAAACAAGTGAAGTGTTTATTAGTGAGTAGTTAAAGAGTAATGAATCTCTGAATACATCATCAGCCCAATGTTTTAATATAATTGCTGATCCACGTCTTCCTTTGAATGAAATATCAGAATATCTGTCGGTTTCTATTCTTGATGACGCAAATCAGGGACGAAAACAGTTGGACTTGTGAGAGTAATCTGTGTGTGTGTGTGTGTGTGTGTGTGTGTTCAGGGTACAGGCTGAGTCCTCAGGCCACCAACTCCATCATAAAGCGCTACAGCTCTAACGGGAAGATCTGCTTCGACGATTATGTGGCGTGCTGTGTCAAACTCAGGAGCTTGACGGGTACGTATGGAGAATCTTCCTCAATTTAATATTTTTTTTGTCTTAAATTCTGATTGCGAATGGAATCTGATTTCCATTTAGTAAAATAAACATTTTCCACATACGCGATATCCCAGAAATAGTGATGCCAAGTAAACCACGAGCCTACATCCTCCTCGACGCTTCAACCCTTGAAGGATATGATGTGATAATGAGTGTACACTACAGTGATACGGCTGAACCGGGCCGCTCTGTACGGTGGTGTTGTGTGTAATGGGCATTACTGTACTTTGGGACATCTATTGAGTATAAGTATTAGCTGTTCCCGATCAGCGAGTTCCTCCAGTGTAATGATGGTGTGTGACGTTGTGTGACTGTGTCTCATGATCAGATGCATTCAGAAAGCGGGATCAGGCTCAACAGGGAATGGCTTCATTTCAATACGATGATGTAAGTATTAAAAACATTACAGAACATATTAATATCGTCTTTAGGGCAAGAGGATGTGTTTTTGAAATAAAATTAATATTCAGTTCAACATAAGCTGTAAATCCGCTCGTGAAAGACAGTTAATAAAACAGGAGATATGCAAGAAATGCTATTTTCATAATGATATTATAATTATATAACCTCTAAAGAAAACCAAAGTGCTCTGGGTGTCTAGTGTTGATGTCATATTGATTTCATAAGTTCAGGCCAGAAATTAGGCTTTTAAGAGTCATTAAATAAAAAATATAGCATTGTTTTTCAATTTTTACTTTACTCACCCAGTCCGGTTTAACCGTGTCCTTGTAGTCATGTGACCCACGGTTCCAAATGCTGCTATGTAGAGGAGTTGATTGATTTATTAATTATTGAACATTAGTGTCTTTATGAGTGAGTCATTGAATCATTCACTCTAGAGATTCATTCAGAAACACAATCCTATTGCAGTTATCATTGTTTTATAAAACATTATTATAAAGCGAATGACCTGAACTGTCTGTGATTAGCTAATGTATTTATTATTTATTTATGATGATGATGATGATGATATTAATGTCTGGTCTCTCAGTTCATCCAGTGCACCATGAGCATCTGAGGAGCGTCTGGATTCATGCTTGACCTCAAAGAATTCATTCCTTTTTATAATCTGCATTTTTAAACGATTCTCTCACATGTGCTTTCATGTCATACTTTTTATAGCATTGTCTTACTTACGATATTAGACGTACATTTCAATAATATTGTTAGCATTATGCACCATTATTAACCACTATGTAAGTAGTGCCTCTACACCAATGATATTAACAATCTATGCACTCATGTATCATACATCATATAGTACATATATATGAATGGCAGTCCAGTGCTGCGTGTTTATGCTCTTCCTGTGCATCTGCTTGAAAGTCTTAATGTGACTCGGCTGAAGGAGTGCTGAAGGCCAAACCTCACTCAGTGCTGCTATATGGACACATGATGGAGAAGTAAATCTTCTACTAATATAACCTCACGATCCATGTGTGTTTCTTGTTCTGCTCACTGGTAACTTCTTTAATTTAATTGTTATAACAAACTATGTAGTTCAGTTTAGTACTCCAATATAAGTTGATTTGATAAAAGAAAATGTTGAAAATATTGCAAATCACGCAAATATTCCTTGCCGGTGTTGGGACTTTACAGACATTAAAGACTTTCTTTAACTTCAAATGGTCTTCGTTTCCAGTTTACACTTCGGGGCTTCTGGGTCTCTACAACCCCTACTATTGATTGAGTAATTGTACAAAAAATATACATTTTTAATCATACAAATGATATATCTTTTTTTTTTTTTTTTTGTTTACTTCTCATGTATTCATTAATGCTGTGTTTTTGGAGATATTGTATCCATATACCACACATTTACACTCTAGTACTAGGCCTAAATTTTCAGATTTATGCCGGATTTATTTATTTATATATTTATTTTTGACATGTGAAGAAAATATATTTAGTTTTTTTCACATTTCCCATTCATTTCAATGTGGGGTCATATTGACCCCGAAGACCAGAAGTGTAAACAGTTTTTTTACATACCTTCAGAACAACTGAATCAAGCAGTTTTTGTGTGTGTGTGTGTGTGTATATATATAGATAATGTATGAAAAGACACAACATCTTATTCCACTGAGATGAAGGGAACCTTTTTTTAATTAAGTAAAAGTTGATTGAGGACCCGACTGCTCCATTTCTGTTGACCTGTAAAAGCTTCCGCTCAGAATGAGTGTGTGTTCACCACACTGGTTTAACTGGGGAAACAGAGTTTTTATTGGGCTGTTGGTTAAATGCATGTAAATCTTAACGTCTGTAAGATCCATCTTACTTTTGAGATTCAAATTAGAGCAATATACCTTTGAGTACTGACTTTAAAAAGTTGAACGCTGATCTCTGTGAAGTGTGTAAGGCTGGCAAGGCTTGTTGAGACTAGTGTGTGTTTTCTCACTCGGACTGTGCTTTTAGAGGAAGATCTGCTTATAACCACTGGTCTAGGGTCAGTTTTCTCCATAATATCCACTGGATATGCAATATTCAATATCGAATCTAACAGAATTTGAACACTGCATTTAATTGTGGTGGCAAATTAATAAAAAGGTGAAGATTGAACAGAATGAACACTACAGAGAAAGAGGAGAAATGGCTAAATTAAATAAGAAATTGTTAAATTCTTATGTTTTGTCCCTTCTGATCACATAATTAGAAAATCGTTGTGTGTAAACGATGACCGCTGTGTTTCAGCTGTGCTCCTGTGTTCAGCAGAAGTTCATCACTCTCAGATTGTGTTTTAGTGAGCGAGATGTGTTCAGAGATTGAGTGAGTGAGATCTGCAAAATGCCTGAACTCGTTTAAGGTTCTGCAGAAACAGGGCTTTATTCGACAGGTTGGTTCAGGCGATTTCAGAGAATGGGGTGTAGTGTTTCTGAAATCCTGGAGAAAGACATTCTTTCGGCTGTAGTTCTATAAAACACCAGCAGGGGGATATGAAGCCATTCTAGCCATGTGACACGTGAGCAGGAAGTGATGTCAGCTGTGATCGTCACCAGCCCTTTCTTGACTGGATAGATACTTCAACCAAAAACACTATGATAAACCCATAATCCAGATGTGTGTTTTAGGTCTGTGGGACCAGATTTGACAGGTGTGTATCCCATCACATCCACACGCACGCACACACACACACACACACACACACACACAGGAGAAGCTTCAACTGAAGGTTTGAAGCTGAGAATGACCACAAATATCAAACACACACTAATCAAGTTTAGGCTATATCACCTAATAATCCTGGACACATAATTACACTGTCTATGAAACTGTTTGCCCAACTTAACATGATGTTTTAAGTTATAAAGCCTTTTACTTGCTAAGAATGAACATGCTAGCAGAAGATTTACATTTAGGACGAATTTTAATAGACATATTAGATTTATTTAAAAAATAATCAAACGTTTTCATGCCCAGTATAAAGTTGACACGCATGTCTCCTGAACACAGGCTGGGTGGCACCAGTGGGATCGTTTCAGGGCATAACTACTTTAGTGGACGTACACATTCAAAAAACGTTAATTATCCGAGTGGAACTGGACGTTATGAGGTTCTTTCAATTGGACTACATAAAAATCTATGCATGAAAAATGACATAAAAGTTGATTAACATTGTATGTAAAATATGCAGTGTTGTTTCACAGTGACAAAAATCCATTAAACTGTAGGAAGGACCCTAATGAAGTAATAACATCTGAAGTAATATTGTTTTACGTAAATGTTTAGCAGCTTTCACGTCATTCTGCATCATATTCCTCCAACACCACATGTAGCCTTCACAAATATTGCAAAAGATAGTAAACAGACATGAGAGCTCTGAATTAGAGTTGCACTTGAACACAGAGAACTACAGCCGGCTGTCAGCTAGCATGTTCGTAAATGAAACTTGTCTATTTCTGCAGATATATTCGACTATATTCGTCATTCAAAAAGAGAAACCGAAACTGGTGACTGAAAATCAATCCTGCTAAACACTTTCTTTTTTCCACTCCTCTCATGTTAATTTTCGCCAAGGAACACTCAGGTAAGATGGTGTAAGATAAGAACAGCCTTCTATCTTTTGACTTCTTTGCTCACTGCTTTGTGCACACATTATTCTCGAGCACTGACTCGTTCACTAACGCCGCCTTCACACTGGCAGTTGAAATCAGCTCCGATGCGGCTGCGAAACGACCGGAAGTCATTCATTTCCTATGGAGATTCGCAGACCGCATGCGAATGGGTCCGAAACGGGTCCGACCGAGTGCGGTGCGAAGAAAATCGTGTCCGTTGGTCATCCGGATGCGTTCAAAAATTTGAACTCTTGCGAAAAGCTACGGACGGTTCCTATCCGACAATTCCAGCGGAAGTTGACCGTTGCTATGGTACTGATAAACAAACCTGAATTATTAACTTTTAATAAAATAAATATTGATTTTATAACGATAAGTTGTGATGTCATTTTTTATTTTCATGACTTTCTAACGTTTATAAGGGCAGTTAATACAATTAAATTGAAGGTAGACATTGAACTATTGACCACTATATCACATTTTTTAGCCGACCTGACATGTCAACGTCCTGACCAACTTTCCTCACGCAGCATAACCCTAATCAGAGAGATCATACAGAACTGACAGAATCAAACTTTAATCTCTCCGCCATTTTTGTTCTACCCGCGTCCGACGCTTTTCACTGTGTAGTACGACGTCCGTTGGGAACGTATTGCGTATTACGGAGCTGATTTCAACTGCCAGTGTGAAGGCAGCGTAAGCTGAACAGCCAATCAGAGTTCCCTCTCTCCCTGAGGGCACGACGCCGATTCAACATGTCGAATCGGGCGAAAAAAGCCGACGAGGACAATTTTCAGCCGACGGTGCAGAACACACTAAGGAAACTTGGCCGACCGTCGCCTTGGTGTGTTGCAGGCTTTACAGTATAGTGTCCCCATCACTTTACTAGGGCGTCAGGACCCACACACACCCCAGGGTGAGCAGCGCCCCCTACTGGCTTCACTAACACCTTTTCCAGCAGCAACCCAGTTTTCCCAGGGGTTCTCCCATCCGGGTACTGACCAGGCCAGCTTAGTTTCAGTAGGAAACCAGTCTGGGGCTACAGGGTGATGTTATTATTATAACCTTTATTTTACCAGGAAAGAAAGCACATTAAGGATTAAAGATCTCTTTTCCAAGAGTGTCCTGGCCAATGGCTGCTGGCCTCTTGTGGTAAACCCGCAGTGAAGTGTCTGCAGGCCTATAGGTGAGTACAGGCACATACTATACTGTATAACCATCATCATACTGCAGAGAAACCACTCCATGATCTAATCTGAGCGTGAAGCGAAAGCAACCTCTGACAGCCATCGAAAAACAGCAGAAACTGTCATAGCACTGCTTCTCGTGCGTGTAAAGTAGTTTGCTTCCCCTAAAACATCTCCTTTTAGTGTTCCATAGAGAGAAAACAATCAGCAATAAATCGTGACTTTGGTTTTGATTTTGATTTTGGGGTGAACATATCACGAGGCAGTGTGTTTGACTCTGATGATTTTGGGATGTTGAAAGCAAACAGTAATGACATGTCTCAGCCTCTTAGTTTAATCATCTTGCATGTTTCCTTCTGCCTCGTCTCTGATGCCTCTGTGTTTGAAGTTTCTTCACCACCCTCTTCTCTCTCTCTCTCTCTATCTGCGGATGAGAGTAGTGTGGTCCGTCGCTCCACAGAACTGGTTTCACTGCTCTAGAGTCCAGCGGCGTGTGCTTTACTGCTCGGTCATGCAAACCCACTCCGTGAAGCTCCCGCTGGACAGTTTCTGTGCTGATAATACTGCCGCCGGACGTTTCACTCTCGAAAATCTTGGGTTATTTTTTTCACCTCAAATCCTGGGTTGAGCCTTTTGGGTCAATTCTATAGGTTATTTTTTCAGTATTTGGGTAGTTTTTGTGTTACCCAGATCCTGGGTCAAACATAACAACCCAGTGTTTGGCTAGTTTTTGTGTTACCCAGATCCTGGGTCAAACATGACAAACCAATGTTGGGGTAGTTACCTTTCGAGGGACTATGGGGTGTCTGAAGCATGAATGAAACTAATCCAAACCTATTGGCATTGCGTGACTACGTAGCGTGTGACGGCATACACGGAGGCTACAAAGGGACGCCGGTACACAACAGCGTTAGCTTTTGCTCCTCAGCAAGCACTCTCTGTTGTGTGATCGTCTATTTGGTGTTGTTTGTGATATCAGACAGTATATCAAATATTGTGAAATGGCAAGTGAGCAGTTCAAGTTCAAGAAGTGTGTGCATCCCTGCCCTCATTTTATCACGAGTGGGAACACACGCTCCTGACTGGCTATATTTGATGAATCTGGCCAGGCTGGTGGTCCCTGTGGTTCGGGTCCTGCGTCTGCCAAGGCGGCGCGGCGGCTCATATCATGGGGCAGAGAGAGCTAGCAGAGGGGATCGAGACTGCTTGGGCACTTTCTCAGTCCTCATCTGATAGCTCAGATCCCTTCACTTCCCGTACGGAGGCCCACCCCGCGGCTTCGTCCGCTCGAGTTGAGTGCCCGTGCTGCAGGACCCAGTGGACGTACTCAGCATCACGGCTGGGGATCTGAATAAATCACACATGCCATTTGAGACTGCA